TGGCTTGCGCAAGAGCAGGCTTTATCGCACATTCAGGTAAGGAGATGTAACGGTTAACTTAAATTCCCTAGGTCCAGCCGCTCTGAACCGGAGCTTTGATTAACATTGGTCTCCAAAATGTAACTGTAGCAAATTCAATTAGCAGAGGCACATTTCTCCAACTTTTAATTAGATCTATCCTATTTGTCTAATGTTTAATACAACATAAAGAGCTACTCAGGTTCCAGAGGGAAGTGGGAATAGATTTAGATGTAAGTTTAGCTTTTAAAGATACAGCAGGCTGAAGTTCTTTGTTCTTTAGCTTGTTATTGTTGCATGCACATTGTCAAAGTTACAGGAGGGAAATACAATTTTATTTACACAATTCTAGAAATAATACCATGATATTTACATAACAGTTTTCCGTAACCTGTAGTGGGCTTCAAGGAACCAAACGTACAGGTTCCAGCCTACTCTTGATGCATAACAGTACAGGATATTACAGAATTACAGTTGTTTTAAGAAATCTTTAGTAAGTATCAATGTATTTCATAACCATTCGCTTGGTTTCACTTAGCACACATGAAGTGAATATGACGTTATCTAAATTGTAGCTTAATATGATGCATAGCAAATGTGGGCAAGAAGAGGCGTTCTTTCAACATGCCATCGTTAGCAGACAGCTGACCAAGTTTAAGCTCTTAAAGCTCCCAGGCATGTCCAGAAGTAAGCAACTTACTTCGACTTCCACAAGACATCATCTTGCCATTCCCCACCCATACATTTGTGGTGGTATTTGCTTCTGAAAAGTCACGGTCCTTTTCCAGCTCGGTTGAAATACATGTTTTGTGATCCCATCCGTGCTGGACATGTCCTCTTATGTCTCTTAGTCACATTATGAGTCTTTCTTATACAGGCATGGTAGGCCACGAGAAGGGAAACGGAAGGGAAGGGAAAGGAAAGGAAAGGAAAGATCAGTCAGCTCTTGCTGACCTACACAAAGGAGGAGCTGCCGTTTTTTATCCTGTGCGTGCAAAAGTGCAGTCGTTAACGCCCAGATTACCCCATGTAATTTCTCTCTCTCAGTACAACAGATCTCTGTGATTATTTTCTCTAGGATCGTTTATCTGGTCAGTTAAAAAAAAAACACACACAGCTATTTTGATGCAGATAACTGTATGGACCTGATGCTGTGTTCCTAAGAGCCACACAGGCAGAAGTCTGTGGGAGTCTTGCGTTCACAAGGCGTGACACACTGTCTTAGTGTTTCAGCATAGAAAGAAACATCATTTAGGCCCAGTGGCCCTCTCCTAGTGTACAGACAGTAAGGAACAGAAACGCTCTCTAGCAGTAGCCCTGAAGAGTGTAGACCATCCCTTTCTCACCCATTTTCTGTGGGAGACCATACACAGGGGCTGCATGGGAGACGTTTCACCTATTCTCTTTTCCGCTTTGCACTGGAAAAAAATTACTGCAGAGGTTTAATTCCTTTTAGCACACGTACTCAGCTTGCCTTGGTTCCTTTCAGGCCCCAAAGCTGATTCATACAGAAGGAGGTCTCCAGTACTATAAACAAGTTTTACTTCACTACCGCATCCTCAAGGAAATGGGCAGTTACTGTCCAGTCATAGTGTTTAATTAAACGTAAAGAAGCTATGAAATTTGAGGGACAACATGCAGTCCTGAATGGGCAAAGGAGCTGTAGAAGAGCTCAAGAGCCGTTAAATGAATGCTTGAAGTGCTAGCCAAATGCTAATCACTAAACTCACAAAATGCAGATCATTGTATTTGTCATTATTATTATTATTGTGTCTTCCACAGTTGTGTTCAGGGAAGGAGAAGGTGTCCTATGCTGAGGAAGAAGAAGAAATATGCAAAGCCAGAAGAAATGGTTTTCTGAAACGCTAGACCTGTTCTGTTTTGTTTTTATAATGTTCATTAGTGCCTCGAAAGAGGATTGTAAATGAACATTCAGAAGTTTGATCAGGAATCCTGTAAAGTAAGAATGAAGAATTGATTTATCCCTCATATCCCCTGTTTCTAATTTAAACATTGACTGAGCCAGAGGTACAGGAGCATCTGGAAAGAATCTGAATCAAAAAGCAAGATCAGAAATAATGCAACATTTATCTTTGCCATTTTTATTTTTTGTTTTCTGTAAACTATGTCTTCCAGGTAAAACCTCAAGAATAGAAAGTAGTATGAGCCATAATTAGATCTGGAAAGTAAGAGACTCTTGCTTGCCCCATAAACAATGAGAAAGCCTGGGCAAAAGCCAGTGAAACCAAAGTACACTCAGGCCTACCCTGGAAGTTTTACAGCTTATAAAGAGCAGATAGTGGAATAACAGTCACTGAACTGAGGCAAATTCAGGAGCAAGAGCAGTCGTAGCATATCAAAAAACAGCAGTTAGGACTCTGGTTGGGGGGCCAAGCTACCATCAGATTCCCTTTGTACCTCAGAAACTGTTTGACCCAGTATCAGGACTGCCACAGTTAGCTGTACAAGATGGGAAATGAGGGCAAATAGGCAGCTGAGTGAAGGAGCAAGTGATATTGTTGGCATGTTAACTTACTTACCAGGCAGAATTTGGAGCTGTAAACTAACAGGAACTGAACTGTAGCTATCATTATAATCAAATTATTCACCAGCCTTTTGTTGCCAAAGATCACAGGTACCTATTTTTACCAGAAAGAGGATTTCACTTCATTTTCATTTGATTTCATTCCTATTTTTCCCTTCTTTTTGACTTTTCTCACGTATGTGGAGCAGCTTATATGCCTAAAGACAAAGGAACTAGCTTGTGATTAGGTAGATGGGACAGCATTTAGAAAGAGGTTCTGATTCTGTGAGCCTTTGTGCTTCTAAAACTGCCCATCTTAGGAAATGAAATGTCCACTCTTTACTGTACAGTTTACTGGGTATCCCAGGGCTAGTATATACAGGTGAAAACTTAAAATCTTGAGATTTCATTGTATGACACTCTCATCCCACCACTGATTTCAGTTTCAGGTGACGATGATGTGGGCGCATTAGAAGGCACATTCTTAGTCAGAAAGTCAAGTCTACATCAGGGGAACATGAAAGAGTTGAAGTCAAAGAGAGAAAGCTAAGTTGCAAAAGTGAGAATTAAACTTCAGTAAAACAAAAAGTGGCGTAGCTATTCAGCTGTACACAGCTAACAAAAGCAAGTGTGTCATGTAAAGTCTGTCTTTGAAGATGATTTTTGGAGCAATGTGTGAGATGAGTTGGTCAGAGGGAGTGGAGGAAATTGGTTTTGTTTTTGCTATTTTTCATTCTAGTTAGAAATCAAAGGGTAGAATCAAAAAACAAGAATTATGGTTAGTCCACTGACCAATATTTATCTCAATGTTTCATTTGGATTTCGTTGGTTTCTTGCACTTCATCTCTATGCATCTGCTGCTGCTTTTAAGTTGTTCATGCAGAGATGGCTTCTTCTGATCTGCATTTGTGTAGTACCTCACACAGAGAGCTCCTGCTTTGTGCCCAGGGCTCCAGGACACTGTGGTAATAGAAATGAAAAGGGTAATGGAAATGGTCTTTTATGAGGGGATGTTCAAGTATAGTCAAACCAACCTGCATGTGTTTTGCACAGATGTCAGCTGTGTAACGCAAGGATAGATCTGAGTCAGTGTCAGTCTGTTCCCCTGTAGATGGTGCCCCTCGTTCAGGGATTTTGTTTTGGGTTGACAGCTGTGTTTCCCTAATCTTCCTCGTTGCTTTGGAAATCAGCTTTCTCCAGAAAAAGAGAGAGACCTGTACTCCAGGAAAACAGCATTTTCGCTGTGGGTAGGACAAAGTGGACTGAAGTCCTGGTTTTCTTTTCAGGCAGAATCTCCTATATAAAATGAAGAACCACTGAACTATGGATTCCGACATTGCCCAGATAGCATTAATCTCCAATCTTACCCTACTGCGATAAATACTATGGCTTCACCAGTGTAAAATTTCTAATCACTCGTGACCATATCATCATATGGATGACTATGTAATAAAGATAATGTAAAGTGGGATTTCTAATTTAATTTTGTGGTGCTGACCTTCATGAAGCACGAGGAAGACCTCTGTAATGGCAGTCAATGTTACCTCTGAGGAGAGGGTCAAGAGTTAAACAAGGTGTTTTCAAACGGATACACGATTGTCACAAAACACATAAGAGACATCCTTGTCATTCCATTGTCTCTGCTAGCTATAAAATAGGGATGACATTAACACAGTTTTGCTAGTCTCAGATGAATTGTGTGGGTAAGTGCAAAATATGCTTATACTAACACCAACTTGAGAGCAGAGTGAGAGTGAATATATATTAGAAGGCATCATTAACTCAGACTGAGATGTAGATAAAAACTTGAGGCTCCAGGCTTTCTGAATTTCATGTCTCTAGTTTGAGAGCTCCACAAAACCTTCATCATGCAGCAGACATACAGCAAGGATCACGAAAAGGCCAACCCAGGCATGAAGCACGACAACTTCTATCATTTAATTATGCAGAGTAGGCCCAGAGCATCCACGTGAAGAACAAAAGGAATAAAGTTGTTAGGGTACTAAACCAGTTAATGTGCTTTAGATTTCAGAAGTCAGTGTTTTTGAAAATCGGTACTTGGATAAATAAATTTTCAAGAAATTGGTTTGCATTTAGATCACATAGTCATTTTTTTCGAAGGCACGGAAAAATTTCCCTAGTATTTATATTTAAAATGCCAAACCATAAAAGTATCAGGATATTTTTTTGTACGGCAGTCACCATCTCATAATATTTTCTGTCCTTTTTTTAATACATGTATTTCCCTTACAGAAACACAGTCACTGTACAATTCCTGTGTTTAGACTGCTATTAGGGGCCTAAAAGCTTGTAAAACACACGGCTAAATGAACTAGAAATTGTATGTCATTAATATAATTAGAAGAGAAGTACTTTTAATTGCACTTTCTTCATAGCTAAGTTTTAGGCTATGTGCAATATAGTAAACTAGCTACCTCTGACAATTCTGTCTGTCGGCACCATTTTGTTTGCAAACTAAAAGGCTTATTTTGTT